AAAAGGAATAGTAGAAGGAACTTTTAAAGACGTAAGCCATTTCGCGCGCTAATTCACGTCCGTGATTGGACATGAAAATGTTCCACACTAATGATGACGGAGTTGTGCAGAGGTCCCTACATAGTACATCTTGATCTTAACATGCAATTGTTATCAACGTCGTATTATGATTACATTATAAACCAAGCGAAAGGCGAGAATAACGAATATTGCCTCGATGTACCTCCAAATACTCTTAACTAGCATTAAAGAGTTCTATGGCGGACAGTAATGAGAATTTGTATGTGATTTCACGCAACAGGGGAAAGTTTGGTGTGGTAAAGAAAGTAACAGAGCGCTCCTCCAAGAAGGTGTTTGCTGCCAAGTACATCCGGCTCGGCTCCAGTGGCAGCGGTTCTTCGCGAGAAGATATCATGCGCGAAATCAACATCATGAACCAGCTACACCACAAGAGGCTTGTGGGATTGGTCGATGCATTCGACATGTCCAGGAACATTGTTATGATCATGGAGTTGTAAGTAAAAGTGACTTAAGCTATGTTTACACTTGGCGCCCAAGTACAGTGCCAGAGAACAATTATCCCTGGCCACTAATGTGAACACACCTTTTTTTCCAAGTGCTCACACCAGAATTCGGACACAGTGTCCATGCCCTGGTACATGGTCTCGACCTTGTACTCGGGCACCAAATGGTACTTGGGTCTTTGGAGAACCCAGTGTCTGAGCGCAACACTATTTTACTGGTGCCCAGACACTCGAGTATGCAGGTGTTTTCGAGAAACGTGGTATAGTATCAAAAGGAACGATTAAAATGGTACAATCTTTGCTTACGATAATCACAAGCGCAAGCGACGCGTTAAAGTCATGAATTCGTTTTTTACTCACCCACGCTCCCTCGTGAAAGACTCCGTCGCGACAATCGTAAGTAATTCGTTCGTTTGCACGATTTGTTTTAGTCAATAATATCATCGTCTAAATCAACACAAGGTTGTTGATTTCCGCAAAAGTAATTTTTTCTATTCCCTAAACTGCATGTAGTTGTCGATTTTGATCAAACTCCTCTCTTCTGAAAATGATCTTCAGTAATCAGGATTTAACGAGTAGCGATTTATTTGCAGTGTGTCAGGGGGAGAGTTATTTGAACGTGTTGCGGATGCCGATTGCTTGACGGAAAAGGAAGCTTCTTTTTACATGTACCAACTGCTTCAGGGCCTTCAGTACATGCACATGAAGAACATTGTACATCTTGATCTTAAGGTAAATAAAACCTTTCATAAAGCTGATCATAAAAAGTTCTGTTTCTCCCCGTCGACAATTTGTCGTGTCCTAATTAAAGTGTAATTAAGGGCAAGATGTATAACTATTGAAATCAGTAATGAAAAATAACACCTTTGTTTAATAAATTATAACTAACCTTGTCAAAGCTCTAACCCCGATACCCTGGGTACCAGAGGCTTTTCATGCGCGGTTTCCAGTTATGACCAAATCTTTATTTTCCACTTTAGAAACGAGAAAAAAAAACTGTCATCTTGTAGGGGCTTATGGGACCGTTACTGGGGACAAAGACAAGACGTCTTCTTGTTCCCATGAAGACTGTGAGATGAGACTTGCCCCAGATTCCTTTTCGTTTCTTAAGTGGCGAATTGTGACTCATTCGAATAGTTTTCTCTCACGACTTTGCGACTCGTAATGTCTGTCTTCGGCCGACACGAAACATCGAGGAAAAAAACTTCTGGACCCATGGTAGAACCCGGACTTCTCGCAGTCTCAGGGGTGGTGTGGAGTAGGAAGGAAAGAGACAGCCCAAAAAGAGCATTGGCTTACCTTTACCTGAAACAGTGATAGCTAGTCTGACCGGGTCACGGGAGAGATCGGCATATAAATGCTCCTAACTGTGCTTTGTGTTATTTTTAATCTCTCAAGCCTGAAAACATCGTGTGCGTCAGCAAGGATAGCTGGGATATTAAACTGATCGACTTTGGCTTGGCGCTAGAGCTCGTACCTGGGGTCCGAATGACGGCCCTCAAAGGGACCCCTGAGTTCATGGGTATGTTTACATCAGAATGTTCCTCATTAGTCATCTTATCAGACTATACATGATACTGATCATTTTGAGCATCCTCTAAGTTTGCTTTAAGTCTTACCACTATATGATTGTCTTAGTACAACGTATCTTCGTTTGACTGATTTTTGCCATAAGCAAAACAGTTCAAGATTAATCGTTGTACAACTTCGGCACTGTCACTCGGGTGTATACGAAGACAACTTTGGGTCAATAATTTCAGTGTTTTACTCGCTCTTAAACAATCCTTAGAAAATCTGATTGAATCCTAAATAAGCTTCAAATCCTTTCCAAAATGTCCAAGCGATCTGATCGCAGAAAGTAAAATGCCTTTATTTTTTTACGTTCTTTTCAGCTCCAGAAGCAGTGAACTTTGAAACCATCTCATTTGCTACTGACATGTGGTAAGTAGAACAGTAGACTTTTTGGTGAGTTGGTAAGGTGTTTTGGTCGAAAGATGGGGACTGTCTGACAAGATATAATCTGAATCATTTTCTTCAGTGTACCAATACTATTTCAAATCAAAGCCGATTTGAAAATAAATGTCTAACACAAAGCTAAAAACCGACGGGGTAATACTAAATCAAGACTAAATAAGTTGATTATGACTGAGGGAAATTGCGGCGGACTCGGTATAAACAACGAACTTGTCTGACTAATTTAGTCTAGTACTTAAAGATGCGCGATGCATTCGATCGAAACCCGGAGTCTAAACGTCAGCTTTAAATATGGCGAATAATTTATTACATATTTTTTTCAATGTTAGGTAAATCAAATTTGCGTTATATTTCTTTTAGGAGTGTTGGAGTCGTAGCTTACATTCTGTGAGTATAATTTCTATGTCTTGTAAACACCTTGGATACTTTTTGAAAACCATTTCATTCAACATATTAATATGGTATTTGGAAAATTTACTTTACAACAACCTTCGAAGCCGCATAGCAACATAAGAATTACGTGAAGTTTCTTAGCAACTCTTGTGGCGTAAACCTTGCTCTCTTGGAGACAAAGAAAATCCAACCCTTTACTTTGTTTAGCGGCGTAATGGAAAAGTCTTCATGAATCCGAGATTTCTTTTAAGAAACAGAAAACATTTTCCACGTTTGTATCAAGTTTAGCGTTCTGTCGCCGATTCATGCGCTACTCACTGTCTGTTCTGTTGTAGAGAGTGAGTTGCTTAGTAGTGTAGTTGTTAAGGATATATTGGCCACTTCTTTGCGGTTTTCAGTCCACTGTCTGTGAAGAGGATTTAGATAATTTACTAGTCGAGAGTATATTTGCACTAAAACAATTATTATTCGCATTCTTTTTCTACGCGTGATAGAAATATCGAGCTTATAATCTAATCGTTAAATCGAAGTACGGCTTTCAGCCCGTGTTTTTGTTCAGAGTGTATTCTAAGTAAAAAAGATCACTTACATCAATAATACTTGAATGAGAATGTAGCACAAACAACTGTGATAAACATGATATTCCAACGCAATTTAATACAGAATTTGACGTTTCGTGTGCTAGTCAA